ATGAAATTCAATTTTGGAATAGAAAATGGAGAAGTGTTTGGTGAAGGCCATGCCATGGGCGGAGTTGTGCCTCAAATTGGCCATGCGGTTTTTATTTTATTTTATCTTTTTTTTTTGCGTGTGGCTTGGCCACGAGTTTGTCCACATACGGTGAAACGTCGACTAGAGAGGAGGGAGGAGAAAGGAAGAGGAACAGGTTTCTGCAGCGGGTGTAGTGGCCACAGGCATGTGCTTGTCCAAGTTAAATGTGAAAGGCGCGTTTGAAATGAAACAAAGGTGCAATCGCTGACCAAGTGAATGCGAACGACATTTGAAATGAACAAATGCGAAATTTATGTCCAAAAGACATTTGAAATGAACAAAGCCACAATCACGTCCCAAAGACATTTGCCAAATGTACGAGGACACAACTATGTCCAAAAGACAGTTGAAATTAACAAAGGCACACACAGTTATGTTCATTGATCTCACATATATGTGCTATGTTGGTCATCTTCCATCATTTACGCACATTCAGGACATAACTCACCACAATATTTTGCTGACCGATTCTGGAATCTGGACGTAATGGCGGTCATATACATCCAGCTCTGGCTATAATTCTTCAATCAGATACTCCTAGGGGACTAACTTCTAGTGTCCTCTCATCCACACGCAATGACATACGTACATAAATCATAAATGAATTCTGCGTGTATAAATTTAAAATTTAAAAAATGTATATACATATAAATAATTTCTGCGCATCTTGTTGACACTCTGATTTAAATTTTTAACCTGCCCCATACCTGATTGGCAGAGTATATGGTGAACACCTAAAACCAATCAAGAGATTTAATTCTTGAAAATCCAAAACCTGTTTGCCACAGATGTCATCATCGGGTGATCTACTTCTCTATCCAAACCACCATATGGCACCACAGCCCTACCAGGAATTGATCCAGCATTTTTTTTTTTTTTTTTTTTTAATTTTATTTTACGAGGGGGATGTGGGAAGTTCGTTCGATCTACGAAACCGAATAAACCAGTGGCCCCTGCTACCTTCTCGCCTGAGCACAACGCCCGGCATTATCAGCGTATTGGAAGCAGGATACTAAGGTGTACATACGCTCATGATGATGGGGTATTAAGTTTGGGGGGAAAAGGTAGGCCTGCCTGACCCTGTGGTGGTTTAGACATTGAGTGTCAAACGAGAGAGAGGATTGGCAATTCTGCTTTTGGACACAGCGACACTTGTTAAGTAACTTGTGGAAAGGGAGGCAACAATCAAGACGCTTAGTGTATCGCTGGACCCGTTTTCCAGCAGGCGACGCTCCCCACCAATAGATGGAGCCTCCCCGAGCTTGCCAGTGGTGTCTGCTCTTATCAGCACCCCTAGCAATTACTTAGGGTTGTTTCTTCAAAAAAAGAAGAAAGAAAAAGAAAAAGAAAAAGAAATGGGAGGGATGGAAACCCTTCAATCGCTTGAACGGGCCAGCTACGAACAACGAGAAGGGATGGAGGGAAGCCCCTCGGCCCATGTAGCGAGCGTTTTTTTCAGAGACGATATCTGCGAGCCTACAGCATTCACAGCTAAGTGGAGAGTGTGGGTAAAGGAGAGAGACAGGTATAAGGGTGAGGATATATTAAGTGATGGGAGAGAGAAGAAGGTGAGCTGGGTGAGCGGTGGAGACGGGGCAGGGTAGGGGAGAGGAGAAATGAGAAGTGAGAGAGAAGAGGAGGAGGAGGACATGGGGAAGAGAAGCTGCTCCCATGGGGCTAGGAGGCTTGCCTAACCAAAAGGTTTCTCAAATTTGATGCCCATTAGGCAGGAGTCGTCTTTTGAACAAGCTTCACAGTCCTGCCCTGGAGAGGGATCATAGAACTGTCCAAAAGGACACTGGCAAGCAGCTGCACAATGAGATTGAACCACACATTCTCCAGATGCACACACAGCACACACATTCATTCTTCACACACACACACACAC